CATTGGAAAAAAGGGGGGAGGGGATGGGATAAAGGGGAGGGAAGGAAATTTGTACATTTTTTTCATTGTTGTGTTGTGTGTGAATTTTTCAACATTTTTTTCATGGCCCTTTTTATCATGAAAAGATGTTGGCCAGATGCAGTTAGGAATAAGCAGTCATACACATCTCTTACATATCCTTTCACAGCCTACTTGGACCTGTAAGAGTACCTGCACTGTTCTTCCTCTTTTATGCAGACTTATATTCAAAATCACAACCTGGCCCCGAGTAACTTGATTCAGGTCATATGACAAGGCAGTAGCAGAATCTGGAATGTTGATGTATTCCTAGGACTAAATTTCTTCCTTCTAATGTGGGGGTTTGTTTTGCTAAAACTAGGGGTGTAGCGCTTTGGCCTCCATTTGTTAGCATCTGCTATTTAATGAGAGTCTAAGAAAATGGAGAAGCCATGAAAGAAAAAGCATGATCACAACAAAATTCATACTCTTTTAAAGGCAGATGTTGCATTTATACCAAACAAGCCATGAAAAGAAGAGCAAGCATGAAAGATACTTACAGCATTAAATATTCATTAACGTTCTACATGCTGCACATTCTAAAAATAAGGTACGTTTAAACGTGGCTACAGTAGATGATTGGGATTTTCCTTCCTGCCCCTTATAATGCCATAGCAATTCAGACTGCTGGGAAGTCACCATGGCAACAACTTGATGCTACCTTTTGTTCAGCTGATGATATGACTGGTCACATGATCCCTGAGCAGCACACACAGCAGTGGATCTTATTGTCCTGTTTAGTGACATAGTGAATATACAGGTCACCATAAGGCATGACAAGTCAGGATTGGATCACTGATTGACTCTGCTCTGAAAGTCTCAGAGGGGTAGCCGTATTAGTCTGTAACTTTTTTTTAAAAAAAGTAGTCCTGTAGCACTTTAGAAACTAATAAAGTGTGTGTGTGTGTGTGTGTGTGTGTGTGTGTGTGTGTGTGTGTGTGTGTGTAATATTAAAAATGATTAAAGGTCTAGAAAACATGAGCTATGAGGGAAAGTTGAAGGAATTGGGCATGTTTAGTTTGGAAAAGAAAAGACTGAGAGGGGATGTAATAGTGGTTTTTAACTATCTAAAAGGGTGTCACAGGGAGGAGGTGGGAAATTGTTCTCCGTGGCCTCTGACAATAGGACAAGAAGCAATGGGTTTAAACTGCAGCAAGGGAGGTTTAGGTTGGACATTAGAAAAAACTTTCTAACTGTCAGGGTGGTTAAACACTGGAATAAATTGCCTACAGAGGTTGTGGAATCTCTATCACTGGAGATATTTAAGACCAGGTTAGACAGACAACTATCAGGGATGATCTAGATAGTACGTGGTCCTGCTGTTAGTGGAGGGGACTGGACTTGATGATCTCTTGAGGTTCTTTCCAGTTCCAGGATTCTATGATATAGTATCATGAGCTTTCGAGGGCAAAACCCACTTCTTCAGATGAGTGGAGGGAAGTACAGTATTGTGATAAACCGAGGCAAAAAGGCAGTCACTCATAGCTTACTGGTATATAAACACAGATGGATCACCATACACCTCTTGAATAAACACCCCTAGAAAGTTTGATGTACCAGAAAAGTATTGTCTGATCAACTTAACTCTATGTAGGATATGATGGTAATTTAGAATTTTATTCAGCAATGAGCCAAGGATTGCTGTGTGGAGTAATAAAGCAGCACTTCTAGCTTTCACTGACCTCAGAGGGGATTGAGGGTTCTTAGCATATTTCAGGACTAACCTGTCATTCAAGACCAGACAGACCCACAGAGTTTGGACCCAGATTTAAATTTTTCCAGCCTTTGTGGCTGCTTGGAGTTAAATGAACCAAACCTACAATTATTGGGGGGCATTTACAAAGCTTGGACCGGTATATGAATTCCCACCCTATCTTTCCCAAAGTTTATGGGTATTTAGGCCCAACTTTGGTAATGGTGAGTATACAATACTGGATATTCAAATAAGAATTAAAGTTAGGATGTTTCTGACTGGAAAATAGATGTTGCCAAAGTAACCAAACATCATCTGTTGATGAGATTACAAGTTTGGTTGATAAAGGTGGTAGTATTGCCACAATAAACTTAGACTTCTGTCAGCCGTTTGACATAGTACCACGTGACATTTTGATTGGAAACTAGAAAATTATACAACACAATATACACTAAGGATTAAAAACTGGCTAATTGATAGGTCTCAAAATGTAGTTGTCACTGGGGAATCATCATCGAGTGGATGTGTTCCCAAGGAGTCCTGCAAGGAATTATGTTTGGCCCTACACCATTTAACATTGTTATCCATAAAGAAAACACAAAATTACTGATAATATTTGCAAAAATTGCGGGGAGAGATAATAATGGAGAGGACGGGTCACTCAATGGTGGCGATTGCTTGGTATAAGCAAACAATATGAATTTTAATTGGTGTTCCCTCAAACCTTTTTTTTTCTATGAATGTGCAGAATAAATTTTGTTATTTGCACTAAGGCATGTGTGGATGTGTACCACTATTGGAAATGCATGCTGCTAGTTGTGGGTGCTGTAGGTGTGCTGCTATCAGCTGGGCAGCATTTGAATATCTCCTGGGTGGCTGTGCAAGTGCTCAACTTACAGGGAACACTTACTTTAATATGGCTAAACATAAATGTATAAATATATCTAGGAACAAAGCGTGTAAGCCATATCTACAGAATGGGGAACTCTATCCTGGGAAGCAGTGACTCTAAAAAGACTTGAGGGCTGTAGGGGATAATCAGGTGAACATAAGCTTCCAGTGTGGCCAAAAGAACGAATGTGACACTAGGGTACATAAACAAGGGAATCTCAAGTAGTAGAATAGAGATTATTTCACTCTATATTTGGCACTTGTGTGACTGCTACTGGAATACTGTATCCCATTCTGGTGCCCAAAATTCAAGAAGGATGTTGATAAATTGAAGAGGGCTCAGAGAAGAGCCACAAGAATGACTAAAGGATTAGAAAATATACCTTTATACAGGTAGACTTAAGGAGCCCAATCTATTGAGTTTAACAAAAAGACTAATGGGTGATTTGACTTGATTACATTCTATATGTACTTCTTTGGGGAACAAATACTTAATAATGGGCTCTTCATTCTAGCAAAGAATGATATAACATGATCCAGTGGCTGGGAGTTGAAGCTAGTCAAATTCAGACTGTTAAAAATGTACAGCTGATTTCAAGTGGGGGAGAGTAATTAACCATTGAAGCAGCTTACCAAGGCTCATGGTAGATTCTCCATCACTGACAATTTTAAAATCAGGATGGAATATTTTTCTAAAGGGCCTGCTCTAAGAAGTATTTTGGAAGAGTTCTGTTTTCTGTACACAAGAAGTCAGATGATCACAAAGGTCCCTCTGACCTTAGACCTATAATATAGTTATAAACTGAATTATTTGACCAAATTGCCTGGGATAGACTTTGGATTTGAGGCAAGAAGTCCCCTTCCAGTCTTCTCTTATGGGGACCTTGAAGCATGATCTGGGGGCTCGTGTCTGGTGACACAGTTGGTAGATTTCCAGTCAGGCTGTTCAGTGCAGAGATTGTGTGTGTGTGTGTGTGTGTGTGTACAGGGCTTATTGCAATGAGACCCCTGGGTGTTTCTATAATATTGCTAAATAATGTGGGTTATGTTCAATGGCTGCTTTTTTGTTATTGCCTCTAGAGACATCAACTGAGATAAGATGCTGATTACACTAAACAATGTAGATAGCATAGAGAGCTGCCCTGCCCCAAAGAGCTCTTAAATCCAATATACAAAAGGGGGAAGAGAGAGTCAGTCCCTGACCAGGCAGGTCAGTACACAGTTGGCTGGGGGGGTGTGTTTTTTTTTTTTTTTTTTGTAAATGTGGAGCGCAAGGGTGTGAATGCACCCAAGTAAGTGGGGAAATCAGCCCCAGCCTTCCCCTGGCTGGTCAGTGCATGGGGGAGGGAGGCTTGGGCAGCATGCCACTCCTACCTCCTTTCCGTAGCCCGCTGCAGCATGCTTACATGGGGGACCATAGGGGTTGCTTTCGCACCTTTTGCATGCCCTCTCTATACGGGCCTGCCAGGGTTGCACAGAAAGGGCTTCTACTCAGATCTACTGAATCTCAGTCCAGGAGTCCATCCTTCCTTTCCCTAATCATCCTAATATAACTGCTGGTCATCAAAGAGGAGTCTCAGTTTATCAGAGCTTTAGTGGGAGAGATGCTCAAATAAAGGTGCTCAGATGGGTGCATTTTAACTGTTCTGAGTACACAAGAATGGCCATACTGGGTCAGATCACAGGTTCATCTAGCCCAGCATCCTGTTTTCTGACAGTGGCCAATGCCAGATGCCCCAGAGAGAATGAACAGAACAGGTCATCATCAAGGGATTCCTCTCCTGTCACCCATTCCGAGATTCTGACCGAGGCTAGGGACACTAATAGCCATTGATGGACCTCAACTTCATGAATGAATCTAGCTCTGGTACCTTTGTGGTATGTATTTTGTTTAAAGCATATCTATTCCTTACCTATGAGGACACCATCCCATGCAGTGAGAACAGGGCTACTGACCTGTTGCCCTCCAGCCTCCCCGCATGGGATTCCTTTCTTTCTACCCTCCCCTCTTCCCGCTGTCTCTTTCCTTTGCCAGGCTTCCCAGTAGTCGGGAGGGAAACAGACAGGAGTGGGTGTGTTCAGCCCCGCCCTTAACAGCCCTTGCCCTCAGTAGCTACTGCTCAGCTGTTCGGGACCTGCCCGCGGTGGGGAATTGGTCTCGGACGCACGCACGTTGCCTAAAGCTTCGGCTGGGGAACGGGGTGTTTCCAGAACAGTGAAACCCCAGAACAATCGAGGCTCCATCCAGCTCTGTGACTGCCAGTCTGTTCAGCGAATCCGGGGCGCCGGGGCTTGTCCGCCACACAAAAGGAGGCTGGGAAGCTCAGCCCTAGGAATAAGCTTGCCTGGGCAGCGCGGAGCCCCGGCCCCGCGGGAGCTGATCCCGGTGGCAGGGCGAAGCTCGCTTGCCCTGTGCATTACGTAAGACAGGGAGCGACTGTCAGCGGCGCGGGACCAGCCTGGCTCCCGGCGGCTCATGCAGCGCGGGGGGTGGCGCCACCAGGAGCGCTGCTGCCGGATTCAACTTGGCCAGGTTGGCTCGCCGCTTACACCGGCCATGGGGGCATGAGTGAGGCGGGGCAGAGGGACCAGGCTGGCGGACGGAGGATCCCGGCACAATGGAAGGGCTCCTGTCTCCGATGAGAACTAAGGTAGGGGGGGAGGGGGACTGCCTGGGGACGCTGCTACAGCCCAGCGGGGCTTTTGTCTCCCGGCTCTTGCCCGTGGCAAGGCGGGACCCGAACTCTCCACCCCGCAGAGAGCACCTGGGTCGAGGAGTTTGCCAGCTCGAGGAGACCGCTCCTTAGCGGAGTGTCCGAGCTCGCGCTCTGGGGGTGTGTGTCTGTCTCCTTTGCCTGCCAGCCTGCGGGAGGGTGGGGACGGGGGGCGCCTGTTGTTGTCGCCCGGGCAAGGCACAGCCGCCTCTAGGCAGGGACCCCCCGGGGTTCGAACACAGCCGGGAGTTCCGCAGGCTGTGAAAGGGAAAGTACAAGTGTTGCGCGTTCCAAGTGCTGGGGGGGGGACTTGTCCCCCCTGGTTGC